TCGGCACACTCCCAAGCCAGTAATGACATAAAGTGTGGCCCTTGAAGAGCTCTAACAACAGCCTGGTTATCTGTTAGGATGAATATTTCCTTCTCTGTACACTGAAGGTCTTTGTGAGATGCCACACACTGGTGGATTGCATATATCTCAGCTTGAGAAACAGTTACAAAACCACCTAGTGGGTATCTGTACTCTCTATCACTATGGATGTGTAAGATCAGCACCCCTGCACCTACTGACCCCTTCAGAAGGGATCTATCTGTAAAACAGTAGAAACAGTTGGGAGACATGTCCACCATAGAGAGATTACTCCAGGCAGACCTGTCTTTAATCACTGTTTTAAAACTCGGCTCAAAATTGCATTTTTTTGACCATTCTGTCACCAGGTCCTGGAGTTACTGGAACAGCAGGAACTGCCTAGTCCCATATTCTAGTGTGCTGTGAGTCAGATAGGTTTTTCCACCTACCAGCATAACATGGGGTGGACTATGACCATGTACTGTAAATCCATGTGATAGTCATTGGGGTAGCACTCCAACGTCTGCTTGCTATTCTACGGCACTGGTGTAGGCATATTGCTGCCTTCTTACACTTTTTATTTACATTTCTCTTCTAGTTGACATTTCTGTCTAGATAGACACCCAAAAACTTAACCAACTGTAGCACATACGATAATTTGGGTCAAAATACAATCATTTTAAAGTGACTGTTTGATAGTTCATTATTTCCTATCCAACAACCCTGCGAAATGTCATGCTGGACAGGGTCAATATAATGCAGTGTTTCCCCTACCATTATCCAAGAAACCAAAGAGGCGTGGAGCAGAACTCAGCTGGGCTGAAGTGGACCACCTGTGTGACAGATGTCTGCTGCTTTGTCTCAAACAAARCAAACTGAATTAACTTACTTTAGTGATTCTGTTGATTCTGTGGCAGTTAAATATTCTTTTTAAACTAGCTACACAGTTGCTGTTCTGTTATTTTTAATATTCCCTCAGCAATAAATCTGTAGAATAATCTGCGCCGCGCACTGTCTCTGCATAATATCAGGGAAAAAAAAGAAAAAAAAAGGAAAGAAATCAGCTTATTATTGCGAACCTTTGGCTCAATATTTTTTTAAATTAATAACAAAGTTGCTATTTCATGTCATTTTTAATATTCCCTTGGTAATAAATCTGCTTGTTGGTTAGATCCTAGGRTCGCTCACTGATGTCATCAGCTAATTATCGTTTTCTGAGCGCAGATCCGAGGTTTGCTTTTTCACAAGTGGGTCTGCCGGGCTCGGTCCTGACTCTGATACTACCTCTGCTTGCGACTCAGGGGCGCATCAGAGGCGGGCTCATTTTACTTTACTTTCCTCCGTGTATTTTCTGAATTCTCGGAGGACAGAACACGCATCACTTCCGGCCTGAGCTGAATGAGGCTACAGAGTCACGTGCCTAAGTTTTTTATCTATCTATCTATTTATTTATTTATTTATTTATTTGTGTGTGTGTGTGTGTGGGGGGGGGGGTGACCCTTCCCCTATTCCCTAGT